GTTTTCGATAAAAAAATAGCAAGGTTTTTTCTAAAGAAATCTCAATTCAGCAAAGTTTTACCATGAAAAAACTCAATTCAGCAAGGTTTTTTCCAAAGAAATCTCAATTTAGTAAGGGTTTTCAATGGAAAAACTCAATTCAGCAAAGGTTTTTTTATAGAAAAATTCAATTCTGCAAGGATTTTTTGTAGGGAAATCTCAATCCACAGATTTTTTGACATGGAAAAACTTAATTCAGCAAGGTTTTTTCTAAAGAAATTTCATTTCAGCAAAGTTTTTCCATGGAAAACTCATTCCAGCAAGGTTTCCAGTTCCTTTAATGTTCTATTAAAACATCGACAATCCTTTCTTTCCTTTATTATCCTTTTCACACATATCATCACTTACATGTAGTTCTTTCTATGAAACTATCAACACACACTTAACTTAGTTTCTATTATGGCTTGTTAACCTTTTTCTAATTAACCCTTTAAAATCATATCCTTTTTGAGGGAAAATCTTCGTAAAACTACCCAAAAAATTGTAAGACATTTTTTTAAGTTAGGTAATTTTTTTACTACAATTCGATAATTTTTATCCTTTTAACCCCTTTGATGTTAACCCATTAAAACCACATGATTAACACGTAAAAATGGAATTTAAAAAAATTTATTTTTTTTCAAAGATCCAATATTCGAACATTTGTGAAAGGTTATTTTTTCAAAGGGCAAATAACCCTAACTTTTGCAAAAAAAAAAAAAAAAAAAAAACAGCTAGCTTGACACACTCTATTTGGTATGCTGCAAGGTTTAAAATTTAATCTCAATCAGACATGCATTGATTACTTGGTGTACAATAAACATGAATACGTCGAAATTGTATATGAAAGCTATGCTATATTCATTTCAAGGAAACTTTTCAAAGATTAGTTTATACAAACTTAAGTAAGTTTTGTCAATAGTCCTAGCTATGGATCTTTTGTACATCATTTACTTAAAATCGAACGAAAATATAGGTAGGAGGCATATCTAAATCTGAACCGATTTTCACGAAACTTAACACACATCATTCTAGACCTAATTCATTATGCTGTGCCAAAATTTCGTGCAAATCGAATGATATTAAGGGAACCAACCCCCCATTCTCGATTTTTTATTTTTAAGATTTTAAATGGGCTGGTAAATGAATACCAATGCTTGTTAAGGTTTGTAACTTTGCACATATATATTTGTAGATTTAAAAAGGAAGAGAAATAATTTACAAAAAATTGTTGTTGTTGTTTTTTGTGATCAAAGAAAAGTCCTTATTTTTGATGGCGGGTATGATAACTCTTCACTGGAACATCGGAATCCAGTGTGAGAAAGAGTACATGTCTGGCTCTCTATGAACTAGGATTATTGACTTCGCACAACAATTAACAAAATGGCAGAACTTTGAAATGTGTGTGTGTGTGTTTTTTTTTTTGGAAAATCGCCTATTTTTGACCACAAACTAAGTTAAAAAATAAGGAAGATATTCACCGATTGGCTTTATCCTAGTTCATACGAGAGCTATACACTCCCAGAAAAACGTGTCAAAATTTGGAACCGATTGGATTATTAGTTTTTGAGTTATCGTGCACGCCATTCGTAAAACACTGCTTCGAGAAAAATGCGTTTAAAGTTTGAGAATCACTCTTGCCGTCACTTGCTGCTGACACAATAAACACACATCATTCTACACCTAATTCATTACGCTGTGCCGGTCGAACATAGGGACTTTGGTGCACTATTTACCTAAAACCGGACGAAAATATAAAAATGGGAGCTGTATCTAAATCTGAACCGATTTTTCCCAATTTCAATTGGATTCGTCCTTGGGCCAAATAGACGAGTTGTGCCAAATTTCATCCAATTGGGATCATAAATGCGACCTGTACTTTGTGTACAATTTAACATAGACAGACATACGGACGGACGGACATGCATATTCTCAAAAGGAACCATGGGTCTATCTCGTTCCCTTTTGCCTGTTACAAACATATGCACATAATACTCTGGACCACAGTGTGGTATAAAAATCCACACCTATGTTGGGTCATTGAAAAAAAAATTAAAAATCCACGTCTACGTTGGTGCATTGAAAAACTATTTTTAAACCAGTGAGCGGAACAGTATAGTCGGACGGGTCCTACACAACTACCACATAACTGTATCTTTCTGCGGGGTTTTATTCTGAGCCTGGGTAATATTTCGTGATAGTGGCACCATCTTGCCCGATTAGAGGACAACAGCACCTCTTAATTACACTGACATATTTTCCGAATATTACCAATATTTAGTACAGCTCTTCTAATTACTTGTCCGGATTCCCTTCACCGTGGGTTGTGTTGTGATGTTCGGCTTTCATTTCATCCCAAATTATTATCTGATCATCGCCGAAAATTATAGACATTGTCCTTGAACATACCTGGATCCTCATAGAAAAATTCAAAGCGGTCAGCGCTATATTTCCCCCCGCTGGTGTGGTAATGCATTACTAAATAATATCTCTGTACGTAAGCATCTGTAAATATTTACGTGTAACTCCCACATCCGAGTACATACGACAATATCATTGGTATCAATTTAAAGGTCAACCACTCTTCTTGGATATACTATCAACTTCTCGGGTCTATGTCCTTCAGGAGTAAATATATACGCTATAGAATAAAAATTTTGTCATTTTTCACACAAAAGTCTGGGTCCATTTGATCCGCTAAATATTGACTCATCTTTATAAAAACAGGCATACTTATTCTTTGGCCCGATCACCTTCTCCATGTACAATTTCGCGATGTTTGGACCATAATTGCGGCCTCTGGATCGACCAGAAAAACCGACAAAATTTAAGTATTTGGTCCATTTCATCCTCTAAATATTAACTGATATGTACCAAAAAGAAGATTGGTCCATAACTGTGGCCTGTATCGCGTTTACAAATTATAATGGACAGACGGACGAACGGACACACATGTCTAGATCGACTCAGCTAGTCGAGATATGACGATCGGTATACTTAAAGGTGGGTCTAGGATCAATTTTTCGGCATTACAAACTCTTAGGGCTGCAGAAAGCTATAAAACCCTAACATCATAGTAGTGTAGGGTATAAAAATATTTTTAAAAAAGACCAAGAAATAACATTTTGTATATAAATTAAATTAATAGAGTATTGCCATCTTAATTGCCCTGTTGAAAAGAAGACGAATGTCCTGTTAGGACTCCCTACCCTTTCTTCCTTACTATTGTGGAATTTCGCCCTAAAAATAAAAGATAAAATTAAATTCCAATTAAAAAGGGTTGACCGTAGAAGAAAAATTGCCAAAGAAAATTGTCTAAGAATTTTCCCAAACATTTTTGGTGAAAAATACATTTTTTCTTCTTAAAATTGCGGCAATTTTTAAAGGGTTAATTAGAATATGATATCAGTTGCTAATGTTGATATGTATGTACACGCGTGTGTGTGCATTCTTAATTAGGTGTTGAATGGGTTAAATGACCATTGTAATTGGGTGTCTGTGAGATAAATGGATAGATGTGGAAGGGTGAAATTGGGAGATTCCTTAAAGAAATTTTTTCAAAAAGGAATGGGAGGGCATTTTTGACGTAAATTTTTTAAAAAATATTTTTTAAAGCTGCCTTTAAAGCGTGGATTTGGGGAGGATGGGAAGATTTTTTTAAAAATATTTTTTAGTAGCCTTCATGTCATGGTTTTTTAAAAAAAATATTTTTCATAGTAGCCTTCAAGGCGTGGACTTTAAAATAATATTTTTTAAAGCAGGCTTCAAGGCGTGAATTTAAAAAAAATATTTTTTAGAGTAGCTTTCAAGGCGTGGATTTTAAACAAATATTTTTTTAAGCAGCCTTCGAGGCGTGGATTTTAAACAAATATTTTTTTAAGCACCCTTCGAGGCGTGGATTTTAAACAAATATTTTTTTAAGCAGCCTTCGAGGCGTGGATTTTAAACAAATATTTTTTTAAGCAGCCTTCGAGGCGTGGATTTTAAACAAATATTTTTTTAAGCAGCCTTCGAGGCGTGGATTTTAAACAAATATTTTTTTAAGCAGCCTTCAAGGCGTGGATTTAAACAAATATTTTTTATAGTACCCTTCAAGGCTTGGATTTAAAAAATATATATTTTTTTATAGGTTGATCTCATCAGGATATGAAAATATCTCTACGAAAACATCCATATCCCAGTATCTTCCTTTCCCACCATGGGGTCCACAACAATATCATGCTTGATTAGGATTAAGTTTAAGATTTTTTGCGATCTTAACACCTCCTTGGGCGTTGCTGTTGTCCTTTAAATCCTGGATTAGACCACAAAAATAAATATTTGCATATTTTCCAAACCGCCAATACCTGCAAAAATCTACTACGGAGCAAGACAATTTTGTCACCGTGTATTGGTTAAATACCGAATGGGCACCATGCAGAGAGGATTATGGTGAGCAAGAAAAACAAGAGCACGAGCATAAGGAACGAGCCAAGAAATTGTCTACAGCAGTTGTTGTTGTTGTTGGAAAACTAAGGGGTGGTTTTATGCAATCAACAGGACAAATGTGTGCAGATTTTTTACTTCTTCTTCTTCTTTTTTTTTGTTCACCCTAAGAAAAAGGGATCAGGAAAATAGAGCAAAAAAGGAAATCTCTGTGTGTATGTGTGTGTGTGTGTGTGTGTGTGTGTGTGCAAAAGGTGTAACAGCATCTTGGGTGTGAAGAAGAAGATCACCTAGGTAGATCGGATGCTGTGTGTCTGTCTTTTACTGGGTATAAATACCTCGACGAGATTGTTTTAAAATCAGTTCGTTAGCAACAGCGATTCAGAACACAATCTCAGGGAATAAAAAAAGAAATTTTCAAAACGAAAAAAAATATTTTAAAGGGATTTTCCATTGGAAAAAAATTAAATTGGGATTTTCATTCAATAAAGAAAAAAAAAATAAAATTTTCTACAAAAATGTTGAAGTGGACTGCTGCCTCATCTACCAACCAAATCATGCCTCAGGATACTCCAGTTAGCCGCCGTGCTGCCTCGAATAGAACACCTCGGTCCATTGAAGCTAGGAGACGTAAAAAGTTGGCCAACATTGCCAATCGGGAAAATATACCCATGATGACCTCCACACCCATGGTTAATCGTCAACTCAATAGCCCCTTGGTATTGACTCCATTGGCGGATATTTTAAATATTACTCCGGAAACGGTTAACAGTCCACCACAAAGGAGAAGGGTGAGCCGACAAACTGTGGCCCCAGTTAACCAACAGCCAAGGCCCTCAACCATGGGCTTGACCCTGCCAGCCGGTGAGGTACCCAACTATGCCACCACTTTGCCAAAATTCGAAGAGGAATATTCTCCCAACAGCATGTTCACCGGCCAGGAGTTGGCCTTAAGGGGCCTTTTGCCTGATCCCTTCATGGCCAAGCGTCGTTACTTCAGCACCCCTGAAGTGGCTCGGCAGCAAGAGGTTAAACAAATCGCCCCAAAGGCCTTGCCAAAGAAACGTAAATTGGAATTTGACTTTTTGGCCATTGCTCAGGAGGAGGAAGAAGGAACTAAAGTGTGTGCTAAAAATACCACCGGCATTCTCTCCAATCGCATGGGTGATCAAACCTTGGATAATCTAATTGATGCCATTTTGGATTCGGCCCGCAAAGAAGAAAAGAAAAAGAAGACTAATTTCACCTTGAGAAAGAGGGCCTTGATGAAAAACCAAGTGGCCACGGTGAATGATTTCATTTTGTCGCCTTCATATGCCGCTGGGGATGATCCCTGCAGTGATTTAAGTTTTTTGGGTGTGGAAAAGAAATCTTTTGTTTGTCCCAAAACCCCAAAGCCAGCCTCTCCAATACAGATGGCCAACACAACACCCTCACCAGCTACCCCCAATCCTGGTCAAAAATTCAGTACCTCCGAACTTTTACAATTGCCAACACCAACTCAAAATAAACAACAGGACTCCTTTGAATTGGCCACACCCCTACCAAGGCCTAATCTGAAGAGGAGGTCCACAGCCGAGGCCTGTCAAAATTCCAGTGCCAAAAAATATAAAGTGGACTCATCCAACTATTTTGAGGTTGGCTTGGCCCTGACATGTATTTATGTTTAAGCTGACGTTGCTGAGAGAGAGAGGAGAGAGAAAAAAAGACTCAAATTATCGAAAACCAAAAAATTCAAACCAAAAATTGTTTTCAAAAAATCATGGGGGAAATTATTTCATATTACGCTTATAGTTTGCTAAGTGTTTTTTTTAATTTTAAAATTATTTTAGTATTTATTTTTAAGTGTTATATATTTTTAAAAATTAGTTTTAAATATTTTATATACTATAAATAGTTAATTTTAAGTTTTTTTATTAATTTTTAATTAAAAAAAAGCAAAAATAAAAAAAAAACAAAACAAAAACCTCACAATATTTTATTCATTTTTTTCAGCGCCTTAATGTAGGGGTAGATTTTTTTAAAAATATTTGTAAGGGTCTACCATAGACGCTGACTTTGTTGTCAGGGTATTATAGCTTTGTGCAGCCCCTAGAGTTTGTAACGCCGCGAAATATTGGTCCTAGGCCCACCTTAATGTATACCGATCGTCATATCTCGAATAGCTGAGTCGATGTAGACATGTGTGTCCGTCCATTCGTCCGTCCATTATAATTTGTAAATACGATACAGGCCACAGTTATGGACCAATCTTTAGGAAATTTTGCATGTAGGATGGGTTCTGGCCAATAAAGACCCCTATTATTTTTGGTCGATTAATATTTAGGGTATGAAATGGGCTAAATACTTAATTTTTTTCGTTTTTTCTGGTCGCTCCAGAGGCCGCAAATTTTTACATGGAGCAGAGGAGCGGACCAAAGAATAAACATGCCAGTTTTGATAAAAATCGGTCAATATTTAGCCGGTCAAATGGACCCTGACTTTTGTGTGAAAAATGGCATTTAACAATGACAATGAAATTTGTATTCTATGCCGTATATTTTTACTCCCGAAGGACATAAGCCCCAGAAGTTGACAGTATATCCAAGATGAATGGTTGACCTTTAATTTGATACCAATTATGTTGTCGTATGTACTCGGATGTGGGAGATACACTTAAATACTTACAGATGCTTACGTATTCAGATATTATTTAGTAACCCATTACCACACTGAAGGGCGGAAATATAGCTCTGATCGCTTTGAAATGTTCTATGAAGTTCCAGTTATGGTCAAGGGCAACGCCTATAATTTTCGGTGATGATCAGATAATAATTTTGAGATGAAGTTGACCGAAAATTTAATTTTTTTATACCCTCCACCATAGCATGGAGGGTATATTAATTTTGTTATTCTGTTTGTAACTCATCGAAATATTCATTTCCGACCCTATAAAGTATATATATTCTTGATCAGGGTAAAATTGTAAGACGATCTAGCCTTCTCCGTGCGTCTGTCCGTCCGTCTGTTGCAATCTTCGGAAGGAATTGAGTGTGCTGAAATTTTGCATAGGTTTGTCTTTTGTCTGCAGGCAGGTTAAGTTCGAAGATGTGATATATCGTTCGACGTTTAGGCATAGCTCTCATATAAAAGTACCCCCCAATTTTCGGTATTTCGGGGTTCTAGAGATCGTTTTTCAACCGTTTTTATGGGGCACTAAATGTTTCCACAAAAAATTATAAATATAGGTCCACTTTTTCCGGTAGCCCCCATATAACGGTACTTCCTAATTTTTAGTATTTTAGGGGTTTTGATCGTATTTTTCCACCGAATTGACTGTAAATTAGTATTTTGACTTCTTAGTAGGTACCAAATCTTTCCACAAAAAATTATAAATATAGGTCAATTTTTTCGGATAGCCCCCATATAAGGATATTCCCCAAACTTCGGTATTTTGGGGTTCTTGAGCGCGCTTTTCAACCGAATTCGCTGCAATTTGGTATTTTGTAGTCGTATATGGTAACAAATCTCTCTAACAAAAATTTTTTAATATTCGCCCCCTTTTTACGGTAGTCCCCATATACCCATATTTTATACCCTTCATCACACTGTGGTACAGGGTATTATGTCTTTGTGCATATGTTTGTAACAGGCAAAAGAAAACGAGATAAAATCACTTTCTGAGCAGATTTATGCATGTCCGTCCGTCCGCCCGTCTGTCTGTCCATGTTAGATTGTAAACAAAGTACAGATCGCATTTATGATCCGATTTGGATGAAATTTGGCACAAGTCACTTATTTGGCCCAAGGACGAACCCTAACGGAAATTCAAGAAAATCGGTTCTTATTTGTATATAGCCTCCATATATATTTTCGTCCGATTTAATGTAAACGGTCCCTATATATCTTTCGATTTGCACGAAATTTGGCTCAGAGTACTGAATTATATCCAGAATAATGTGTGCTAAGTTTCGTGAAAATCGGTTCAGATTTAAATATAGCTCCGATATATAGTTACGGCCGATTTTATGTAAATCGTGCACCAAAGTTCCTATATATCTTTCAATTTGCACGTGTTAAGTTTCCTGAAAATCGACTCACATATATATTTACGTCCGATTAAAGGTAATTGGTGCACCTAAGTCCCTAAATATCTTTCGATTTGCACGAAATCATTTGATCCTAAAATGATGTGTGCTAAGTTTCTTGAAAATCGGTTCAGATTTAGATATAGCTCCCATATATAGTTTTGTCCGATTTTATGTAAATGTTGGTGCACCATTTACATAAAATATATCCTTCGAATAGTACGAAAATTTGCATAGTGTACTGAATTAAGTCTAGAATGGCGTGTGGCAAGTTTCGAGAAAATCGGTTCATATATATATAGCTCTCATATATAGTTTTGTCCGATTTTATATAAATGGTTCGCCAAAGTCCCTATATATCTTTTGATTTGCACGAAATTTGGCATAGCGTACTGATTTGAGTCTAGAGTGCCGTGTGCTAAGTTTCGTGAAAATCCGTTCAGATTTAGATATATCACACATATATATTTTCGTCCGATTTAAGACAAATGGTGCACCAAAGTCCCTATAAAACTTTCGATTTTCACGAAATTTTGCACAGCGTACTGAATTTAGTCTAGAATGATGTGTTCCAAGATCGGATGAGATTTAGATATAGCTCCCTTATATATTTTCGATTGATTATAACTAATTGACGCACCAAGAAATCAATATATGGCTGATAGAAACAAAACGTACTGAAATTAGTATAACCTAACCTGTGACAAGTTTCGTTGAAATCGGTTCATATTTGGATGTAGCTTCCATATATATTTTCGCCCGATTTTAAGTAAATGGTGCATAAAACTCCTCATGTTTGTCAGATTGGCATGAAATTTTGCACAACGTACAAAATTTAGCATTGAATAAATTAGTTGCGTTTTCTGGAAGTACAGACATAGCCCATCGGGTTGATATTTGTTTGAAGTCGATTTACATACGTTTGTCCCATTGTAAAAATGTTTAGGGATTGATCTAAGTAGATTCACATTTATATAATTATATTTTAGTTCATCCAATTTCATGTTAATAGTCCTGTTTAATATAGCCATAGTGTTGAAGGGTATCATATAGTCGGTCCGTCCGATTTTACTTCTTTTCTTATTGGTTAAAAATAGTTTTACAAAGGCCTGGATCCGAAAATAGGTGAGAAATAAAAAAAATATATATTTTTTCAAGGTCCCAAAAGGCGAGGATTTTTAAAATATGAATTTTCATGGTCCCTAAAAAGATATTTAAAAAAAAACTGGCCTTAGAAAATTAAATTGTTAGTTTCGCCTAAGGATAGTTTCACCTTTATACTATGCAGAAAATTTCAAAATTAATCTCCAAATATGACGGTCTTTGTAATAATAGAAATGTTGAAAATATTTAGACATGAACCTGTTGTCATCGAAATTGTAAGGAGAACAACAAAAGTACACATTGTCGGAGTTAACACCCGCAAACATTCGAAAAAAGGCTTGAAGTCTGTTTTGAACAAAAGATCCCAAAGACAATAAGAATAATATGCTGAAAAAATAGGTAAATGGTTAGCCTTTTAAGTCTATGTGTTCTTGTTGTTGGTATTGAATTTCCTTGGCACGGGTGTTGAGGTGCTAACAAGTGTTTTGCGACCTAATTGATAACACAAGCTGCGTATCAAAATACCAACCCGGACGATGTGTGGGCACAGCTGTTCCCGTTTTTTCTTTAATTCCTTCATCCACAGAAAATTTTGAAGAAGAAAAGCAGACACATAAGAAGGAGTTAAGGGACTCTTCTCATTTCTACCTGCTGTTATATCCTGAAATATTAATCACATGGGCGTGGACAATGAGTTAACGTCGTTAAGAATTGTAATGAAAGAAATGTGGTTTGACTTTTTTGAGGGAACATAATATGGGTTAAACTAAAACTGTTAGCTGAAGCGTGGCATAATCACTAACAATAATAAGTAAGCCTTTCCGGCTTTAAATATTAAATGGTTTCATTAAGCGTAATAATGTCAAAACAGCATGTTTGGAAAAAGAAATGGATTTTTTCTCAACTATTTCAAATAGCCACCCGACTAATAAGGATAGATAATGCGTGATTTTTTTTTAAATTTTATGGAACTATGATTTTCATGGACGAACATAGACGTGGATATTTTAGAGATAGTTTTGAAGGTTCTATCATATGGAGTGAATTTTTTCAAAATATTTTTTCAAGTGTCGAACGTATTCGTGTATTTTTTAAATTTTTCTTAAATATTTTTTCAAGGCTCCACCATGAAATTTTTAAAAATATATTTTCAATGCTCCACCATTGGTGTGTATTTTTTAAAAAAATATTTTTTTCCAGGTTCCAACTAGGCATGAATTAAAAAAAAGCTAAGCTCCAACATTGCCGTGGATTGTTTAGAAGTCTTTTCAGTTGGAAAGTCCAAAGAAATCAATTTTAATAATTGTTGTTTCTGGCTTAGATCGTCGCCCTGAGTAACATGACAATTTTATTTCATCTGGCACCCAATTATCATCGGAACCAAAGAAAGAGAACACTTGTTTTCCCGCATTCTGCAAAACAGCTGCCTTTTGGTACCAAGTCCCTCGCCCACACCTTTTATTGTAATACATTACCACCGTATTATTAGTGTTGGCTGC